ATTGCTATTGTATTTTTGTGTGCGCGATTTGTATTGTGACGAATGAAAACAATTGGTTGGAAAATCTTACGCAAATCATAAAGAGCCTCCGAACTAAGAACGTTGACCAGAAACACCAATTAGCCACCGTTGAATACAAACATTTTGTTGGAGTTGAATGAGGTGGAATCAAATAGAATCGGAAAATTATGATCACAAAATGCCTTAAGCAAACTGATCAGTTGCAGCTATTGATAGCTGTTATTCACTAGCATCTGGTGGATACACATTTTCGACTATTGTGATACGGTGCGATCTAAATAGAGATGTCGACAAACGACAGAAATTGCCATTCGTTGAAATCATCTGTGACCAGCCGCGATAGATAAAAAAAAACGTTGAAATTGAGATGAATAATAATGTGTAAATATGAATTTTTACAATGATAATTACATTAATCATGATGACATATAAATATTATTTTCACTGTAGAAAGTGAACAGCAGGTATCAGTGGTAGCAGCTGAACAGTTAGCTTGAGGCGAGGTCTGCATGCAATATTCAGATATATTGTTTATATCAACCGGAAATTCGGTGCAAAGTACAACAAATCTCGTCGATTTAAAAAGCAAGTGCGATTGGATGATCACTGATTTGCCAGCATAACGATGATGATGATTGATATCATTGAGAACGTTAAGAGGTGGAACAAAAACTGAACAAATTGAAATGTTTTCACTTTCAAGCAAAATGATCTCATTGTCAAAACCATACCTAAGGTGTAACAATAAACATTAAACTTGAAAAGGTGTTATGTGCATTTTTTTACTGTTCAGCGTCATTCAGTACCATGCACTTTGCGACAAACACAATATCACCACCATAATTTGTACAAAACAGTGGACGAAAAATGGCAATTTAATGCGAGAGAAAAAAAGAACTGTATTATTGTGATAAAAAAATGTAAAGAATAAGAAAAAAAAACTCCCCTGAGAATATGTACAAGGTGAACAGTATTGCTAAATAAGCTTCAAAGCAGAAGACTCGGCTAAAATAAGTACTTGTGCGTGACACGAGATATGCATATGGATACAAAAAAAAAACACAGATTTTTTTAACCATATAATTAAGAAGCAGAACAGAATTGGTTGCAAAGCCTAAAAGATAGAGAAACCGCCGTGACGGTAAAGAGAGCGGCAGAGTGGAAAACACATGGAAACAATTTGCATTTGATTGCAACACACACGTTCATGAACAACAGCAAGAGAAGAAGAAGAAGTAAAAAAAAAATCAAAAATACACAATGGGATCTGAAGTGCATATTGCACCGGCAGTCACCCAGCAGAGATCTTTGATAGAACACCAATGAAGAGAGAATAAACAAGAGAAAAACGAAACACAAATTTTTTAACCAAAATGAAAACAGAAAAGCAAAAAAAAAAACAATCACAACACAAATATAAATTCACAAACAAAAGCGTTCATATTCATATATTCATATTTAAAATCAAGTATACGTTCTATTCACGTCTTTTGAATCACTCGGTCAACAATTTCATTTTTGTTAAACAGCAAAAACGGGAACGTGAGTGTGAGAATAGGAACAATTTTTCATGATGCCTATGATCCGCGAGCATTTACAGATAACAAAACAAAGTCTTATGTAATTTTCGTCCAAATGATATCGCGTGTACTGTACATTCTTTTGTTTAGATGTATGGCTCATTGAAGATCGTGTACGCATTCGAAAAAAACTCTAAAATAACAAGAAAATGAACGCTTTAGAAAAATTGGATGCGTTCGATGCAATGCCACGTTTTGGAGAAAAATTCGATGTGATATTTTGTATCATATTTTTTACACATTCCATTTTATTTTCAACTCTTCTTTCCACACTGAAATCTCCGAGGTCACCAGCTGTGAATTATTTAGGTATACCTATTGTTTGTCCATTATTATCAATTTCAACGAGAATGTGGAAGAAGAAGAAAAAAAATGGCAACAAAAAACACGTTAAAAAACAACAAAAGCAGCAACACCACCACTAATAACAACATTTTTTTTATGATTCTGTTCAATTAGAGCAAAACATTTATGTCTTGAGCAAGCAATGAAAAACATATAGTCGCATTTTATATGCAGTGACAATAGTAGCGAGCATCATAAACTCACAACAATTTAATTTCATCGAGATTTACGTAAATCAATGAATAACTCCCATATAAAAAAAATTATGTTACCAAAAGAATTGCATTTTTTTGGAAATTTTTGTTTTCGTCTTTTTATTGTTTGTACGTTATCTAGACTTGATCAAAAATACATCAGTTGGTTTTGTAGTTGGTGAACAATACTCACACATACAAGTTCCTTCAGATTTATGAATTCAAGCTGAAATCGAAAAAAAGAAAAGAAAATCGTTGAAAGTAATTATCAGTAATACGTATCACATCGGGAATGGTGCTTGTTGCAGTTGGCCAGAAGTTGCAGGTAAAACGATCGAATCAGGAAGAGGAACGATGCAAAGATGCAGGGAAAGGAAAACAAATAAATTGAAGTAGAAAGAGAGAACACCACATCAGGAAATTTATGACACCTCAACGGGAGTTAAATCGATTTCTCTGCTGTTTGGATTGTTTCAATTCAGATGGTACAGATGACAATTTTTTTATTATATATTCTCAATGAATAATATTTTGATTAGTCTGGCTGATTACGGTCTGGTTCCATTGAAGCATCACGACTTTTGAAGAAATCAAATCAATATTATATACATTGTTTTACTTACCAGTAAAAAGTCAGAAGTAAACATGATTGTGTTTTTTTTTTCTCGCTCTCTCGTTTTAACCACGCGCATTTCTTACGATGTGCCAATAATTGGTGGTGCCGAGACGAGCGTCGAATTAAATTAGAATCAACTTTATATGTATTAAAATTCAATTTGCGGCCGCACGAAAAATACACATCAATCAGTGCCGTATCGATAAATGCTATCGGGCGAGCGAGAAAATTGACCAAAATAAGCAGATAATTTAAAACGTATTTAATTTTTTTAGCACATTTTTTTTCTTTTCTCGGTACTTATAAGTTGTGTGACTCTTGTTGATGTTTGTGTGTGTGAAAAAGAGAAGAAAAAAAAAGTCATAAGTAAACGATAATAACATCAGTCCTGAAGACATCGCAATAACAACAACAACAAAAGCAATGTTTTGTATATTTAAATTATTCTTAATTGAAAATTCCCGAAAATGCAATCAACAATTTGAATTTACACTCAGAGAATGTTTGACCACACTTTGGTACATACATGCAATGCATAACCCGATAAATTGGCACATTAAGCTAATCAGATACACAAACGAAGCGAGAACGACATACTGATAACAAATTGATGTGAACATGTTTGCGGCAATCAAATCGTTTACTTTAAAACAACAACAGTTATTAGAGGTCAGGTTGGAATTTAAATATCATAGCACGCCGCCATCCATTTAGATATGTTTTAACGTTCTTATGCGCTTTCGATCTTTGTCTTTTGCAAAATTGCTTTTTAATTTGCACCAAATTTTCGTTTTAATACAGTGCTCTGCTACTCACATGAAATCCGTTGAATTCAGGTTTCATTATTCATAGATTTCATTTTTGAAGTTATCTTTTCCACATTTCACGGATTTTAATGCATATTTAACGCATCGTGTGAGTTTTAGCAATGAGAAGAATCTTTGTGTAATTGATCTCATCATTAGTCGGGTATGCTTGAAATCAATTTTGAAGATGAAAAAAACTTTAGAATTGTAAATCACCAAACGATCACCTGATTGCGCTGTCGAATTTATCGAACTGTTTGATTAAAAACAGTGTGAAAATAATTAACAAAATTCAATTCATCCACCTCGAAGCTACCATTGTATGCGCAGTGTGCTGTGTGAGTTAAATTACGCGCAATTAATTTAATTAGCATACTTTATTCCGACTGCGTTTATTGATATGCAATTAATATGGATCAATTTCAGTGTCCATGTCCAACACAAACAATTACCCACCCAATAACAAAAAAAGAAAATATGGAAATTACCATATCAAATGAATTCATCTGCCAATGACCGCCGATCACGAAACAAAATAAATGAGCGTTGAAAAATCGTTTAATTTCGATATCAATCAAAATCTGTGCTGGACATCGTATTTTGCCACTTTTTACATGGATAACATGCACATGACCCGAAATTTGAGAACCACATTCAATATCGCAAATATGCGCACGAACAATATCTCGGTACGAAACCATGGCATGGTGTTCAAGACTCTAGGTAGTAAGTGGAATGAAAGTTCGTTTCTCATTTCGTATTACTTACAGCGTTGCATTCATTGTAATGATATTCACAATATCCTGCTTAAAATGACAAATTGTATCATTATTTTGGTTAACATTTTTTCCAAAACAGACGCATCATTCATCACTTGCGGAACTTATATGAAATGAATTGCTTTTTTTGAAAAAAAAAATCGAATAAATTCAGACTTCAAACAATGAAATGATCATCTGAAAGACATCCGATTTTTTAATCTAAATGTGAATATTTTCCATACAGTAAAATTGAGCATTGAAAAATATGTTAAAACAAACAGACGACTTGTAGATCAAATTGACTACTATGGTTATTGTTGATTTATAAACAATTGTAAACAAATATGTATTTATTTAAATAAGCCACCTCCGGCTAAGGAACTCTGTATGGTGTATCAGTATCATTATTATCATCATTTTTTTCAGATTACTTTTTGTAGACATTTTTATCAAACTGTTAAAAAATCTCCAAAACTCTTAAAGCTCGTTCAAACTTAACCCCGGACTCAATAGATGTCTCTCTTTGTATTTTGTATGAAATATATTTTTTTAATTTTATTTTTCATTTTTTTTTTGTAGCCAAATGTAGATAAAGGGATTATTTATGAATTATTTGACAATTCAATTATTGAGTTTACTCAATAAAATTTGCTATCAAATAGGAAAATCCCGATGAATGTGCTTTTATCATTTGTTAATGTTTATTTGTAGCTAGGTTCTTGATACATGAAATTATTAAAATGAATTATTTTTAAGATGTACTTCTTTTTTTCCAAAGGGGTTCTTCACCGAATATGTCTGAACCAGTTTTTCTCGCCCGTAAATAGGCTTCTTCGGGTTCCAACAGCTCGTCCTCTGATGGTGTCACTGGTGTTCCATCTGGGTTTAATTGTTTCTTATTCCAGTCATCCACGATTTTATTTGAGTAGACAGCGTTGAATAAATCTTCAGCTGTAAATTCGGACTGTTGAAATTCCGCGGCACGATATGAAACATATGGTTTTAATTCAAATTCTTTTAAATCGGGCACAACTAATTCGGGAATCTTTTCGGCTACTTCAACTTCATTTCCATTTTCGTCTATGATTGTTGTTTCGCGAGCACCGTATGTTTCGAGTGGTATTTGTGGATGACGTTTGTCTGTTTTTTGTTGTTCACGAAACATTCTTGTACCACGAACTTCTGGAGGAATATAGAATTTCCGAAAATTCTTTTTGCTGGCAAGTACCGAAGAGGTGGACACACACCGTCTCGCCAAATACAGCGGAGTTTTCAATGCTACATTCATTGTCGATTTTTTGATTAAAACTTGAAATGTTCGTGCTCTGGGTATCGCACACAAAATTGAAAACAATTAATATAAATCCAAGAGGAAATGATTGAAAATATAAAATCTTTTTTTAGTTTGAATACATTTTTTTTGGTTATGTTAACCATTAGAAGAGCGATACTGTCATCTCTTCATAAACATATGTCAAAGCATTATTATCAGCAACACATATCGTGTTTGTGTGTGTTTTTTCTCTTTCAAATCGGTATTACAGCATCGAGCGCCAAATTATTCTTATGACAGAAAAAAAAGTAGTTTTTTATTTTTGTTGGTGCTTAAATTTATATACAAAAAAAAAAAAAACATGGAAGTGGATGAGAGTTTTAATAACGATGAAAATGTGCCATTGTTAGTTTTTTTTTTTTAATTTCTCTTAAATGGCGAGAGCATCTAATAATGATTCTTTCGTATATTTCAGATCACAGTATAGTCGTACATCAGATGACATCAAGTCGATGATAAAACTGGCCAAACTGAATGAAAAGCAACTAACCGATGTCACACAGGTTTTATACTATGGCGATGTGGAAAGTAATCCCGATTTGAAACTGCTTGAATTGAATGGTTCATTGTTATCGGCCATCGAAGAAGGTCAAACACTTTCGTTTAAAGGTAATGATCGTAACAAGTATCCTCTGTCGAATGCTATGAAATTGTGTCATGTTTATATTTGAAAATCTTTTAGGCGGCCTGAATGAAAAGGTAGTATTATGCACAAATGATCAAACGTTTGAGGTGAAAGAAGCCGGCATTTCAAATAGTCTACTATTGATCCCTGAATTAAAATTGGCACAGTCGACATCAAAATCACCATTGAAAAGTCCAAAAAACCGTGCAAATTCATCAATGGAACGAAATCAAAATGAATCAACTGGCAGCATCGATGATGATGAATTATTTGATCCAACCGCTGAGCGTCAACAAGAGCGACGTATCGTCAAGAAGGTTTTTCACGAATATTTTGAATGCCGTGAAGTTAAGCCGAAATTTCGAAAATTGGGAGAACTATTACAGCTGACTAGATATTCGGGACCGGAAAATGAATATTGCATCGATCGTTCGTTGCTATTTACATTTAATCAATTGCTTAATACAACACAATGCAGTCGTCGCGAATTTGAAAATGGCCTTAAAAAGTTTCGGGCCTTTGAATTTGAGGGTCGTATGCGTGTATTTGACATTGAATATGAATATCGCTTGCTGTCATTGCTTTTGGGTATTATTACTTTCGCTCTTGCTATTCATTCTTTTGCTTATTTTTCCATTTTTTTCGATTCTTTTCCAGGTATTATCACTGAGAATTCTTGGCCTATTGATGGAATCGATCGCGATGAAACACTCAGCGCTATTTCGGAAACGATTGCACCGGCGCCAATGTTGCAAGCTATGTTTGATATGTACACATTCCCTTCACAACAATCGTCAAGCTCTCGATGCTTGTACACGTATCGGGAAGAAATGGTCTGTCGAACAATTGCACAAAATGTACTGCAACAAGGTACAAAATTTCATTACAACGATTTTATGGATACATGGCAAAATGCTTTGCCGGACGGTTTTCAAGTGCAGGTAATACCCGTCTAATTGTCACTGTGATACAAAATGAAATACGAATTTTTCACATCTTTATAGGAGAAATATTTACGAGGAATCGGCATCGTTGATCGTTCAGTAGCAAATGTTCCATGTGTACGAACATTGATTGAACAAAATCTGACCACCAGTTTAATTGATCGCTTGAGAGTTTTGTTTAAGACACGAGAACGGTGGACACTGGACGAGATTGAACCGTATATCGAGTAAGCATTTTGTTACCACGGTTGATATATAATGATATTTCTAATTATAGTATGTGGCTTTTTGTAGATTTTTCGCCAATCCACAATTATCGATAACATCGATTTTGGCCAAGCACGCACGCGCTATCACAGAAAAAGGACAACGGATCTACGTTTCCAAGCATGGAGTCTGATTAAGTCAGTCAACAGATGACAGATTGAATATTTATTAGGAGCATACGAATAGTAAAAATTAAATCGGTGGTTTCCAACTGGTGATCCGCGGCGCGCCTTCCAAAATTGGCTGCCCGCTTATTAGAGTCCAAATAATTTTACCAAAAATGGAAATAAAAGTTCAGGAAACTTATTTTTGTTTTGGTTCACTTCAAATATAACTGTTGCATCAGAGCGTAAAATAAGTCGTTTTTGTGCAGAATTAATTGTTTTATTTCTTTGACCACTTAAAAATGAATTACAAGAGAATGTGAAATATTTTATTGATTATTGGTGTCATCAAAACGAGATTTATCCGTGCACGTAATATATGCGGTAGAACTAAACGCATCATGTAAACAAGACCGTTTGATTACCAATTCGATTTCTGATTTCAAAAATTGTGCGTACAATTCATGAGCATTTTCAATGCGATCACGAAACTCATCGAATTGATCGTTGTCTGTTGGTGGAAATCCTTGTCTCAATACGTCATACCTAGGGTTTATCACATGGAAAAGAATGGAAATGAATTAGTAAGTAATGGGACTAATGCAATATGCCATACATTTTGTTCAAAGATGAATCGTTTCGATTCTGTTGTAAAATTTTAATAATACGTTGTCGATTTGGTTCCGGACCATAATAAAATCCAATTGTAGCAATGACAATATCTTCTTCGTCTTCACTGAATTCCATTTGTATTTGTTCCAAATCTTGATGGCGAAGTTGGCAAAAAATTGGTATAATACATGCATTACTTTGTTTAATAATATGCTTTTTCGATTGAATGAAAATCTGGCTTTCGTTCAGCGTAAACGAACTACTGTTCCCCATTTTTGGTTTGATAAACATTATTACCACGCCATCCACCGGCGATGTATTAAAAATGCTAAAATATCCAGTTAATGATGTCAATCTACTTGTAGTTTCATTCACTTCAAGTCGTAAACAGGTGGCTGCATTGCCAAAATTGCGTTCAACACCACGAAGTTTTAACATTGCAGTTCCACCATATGCAAATAAATATACAAAACGCATTGTTCCATCAGGCCAATTGTTTGCTGGTTTAAATACTATTTTTCCAACGTTTGCACCAACATAAGATGGATAAAATGTGACGTCGATTTGTCGAATTTCATTGCCATGCAAAATTAATTTTCCTTTGCCTCCATGTGATGTTATTTCAAACGATGTTCCAATGGCTTCAAGTTGAATGGCCATCCATTTGTCGCTGATGTTCTTGATACGAAATGACTTTGTGACACCCTTGCCCAGCGGCACACACGACCAATTCCTGATTTGAATTATGAATTTTCATCAATATTAATGGTTAAATGATTTTTTTCGATCGATCAGATTTCGATTCTTACAGTTCAGATCGATTTGATTTCACTGGAAATTCACCATCATTGTATGTGAATTCACGATGTTGTGCATAATAGTTTTCAGTGGATTTCGTTTTTTGTACACGATCCATTTCGATTCTTTGGACATTCGATTTTACTTCAGGTGTTGATACTATGCATTTATATAGTGTAGCTTCAGCCAAGTCACCTGAAATTACGGTGTTTTTTAATAAAGAGAAGCCAATTTGTCAAACCGACTGTGTGGTACGAACCAAATCCAACCGTATAAGTGGTCGATGCGGATGGAATCTGTTTTCTCGGACTGTAATCCACAAATATATCTTCAGGACAAAAACATTTATGACGTGTCAAACCATTGGGAGCGGCATCAGAATTCACTTGCACATAAGTTCTGTCAACGATGGTATGCTTTTCAATGAGCTCTGTAAAATTTAATGAACCATCAGTTTTTGGTCGATATTTGGTCCACGTTTTAATATCACCAATCATGTAGGTATTTTCATTTTCTGGCCATTTATGTTGATGCACAGGCAACTCTTTGCTCGACGAAGGCGTATCCATTAGTTTGCCTACAGCAAAAAAAAATATCTGAATGAAAATTACGCTGATCTATAAACGTTACATTCCCTTGAATAAAATACGTAAATTGAACTAACTTGTTTGATCTTTATGGTTAACAATTGTGGGACTTTCGCTCGTTGGATGTATTTCATCGATGTTCGAATTTCGGCTGGAAAAATTTTGACCGAATGAAATGCCAGGACAATCATGAGCATAAATTCCAGAAAAACTTTTGTCCTCGTACATTATCAGACTGTATTTGTATAACTTTATTTAACTTAAAAATGGACAAACAAACTTTAACAAAACGATAAATAAATCAGTACGACTTGTTGAGTCACAGTAACAATGTGTCAATCAACGCACAAAACACAACCGATAATAAGTGTGCAGCACAACTCATTTTGTACTGCTACCTTGATGAATGCACCGCAACAATTTACCGTCAATTTTGAAATCGTTATTGTTTTCTAAGGTTAAGCATCGTTTACACTATGAGACTGCAATTAACAATTTTTTGAAATAAAAGTCGAACATTCGTTGCTAAAAATAATTGTTTAATAGTCTTTATATATTAAAGAATATATCTAGATTTTAATTTGTAAATTGTTTTCAAATGAAATTTAATGAAATGTATGCAAGTCCATATACTTAATCAATTTAAAGGCGATCGGTTTTTAACTTATTGACTGGAGGACTCGGTGCCGATAATGTGTACACTTCATATTCAGTAATTGTGAAATTGTAGTCACCAAAAAGGCTGGACGAGCTGGCATTATTACCTCCATCATATGAATGTGGCAGATTTGAATACGAATCCATGCTACTGTTGCATGCGTTTGCAATTTGTAAATCGGCTCCTGCACCAAAAATTGGCCCAACTCTAAAGAATAAAATCAAAAACATTATATTTAGAACTCTCTTTAAATGAAAAATTGAAGCAAAAAAAAAATGCTCGAAACTAACTCTGGATGGTAGCATATGGCATACGGTTTTTTGATAATGTCATATTTTGTTGGTGGCTCCTGTTCACTGTACAAAGTGAATAAGAATGATCGTTCTGAATGAATGTAGCCGCCTTTACGATTTGTCTTTGCCCACGGTACATCGGTGAAACCGCCGCTTATCTCTCCACGTGAACTTTGTGCAATAACAAATGCCGGAGCAACGCCATCACAATAGCGATGGAAGGCACTGGCTGAAAAACCATTGGTCGATGCACGGAATACAAGACGCCAATTTTGCTTTGGTACGCCGTACCATGCATTCAATGTCGTTTGCAAATGTAATTTATCGTTTTTCAGAATCGATGAACCCGGAAATAGATTTTGAAGAAGACGTGGCTGTAATCGTTTATCATTATCACCAAAAGAAGTGATGCCCATTCCATTTGCACCGGAATTTGAATTATTGTTGCACATCGATGGAACGTTTGATGACATTTGTACAGAACCAAGTGCCGTTGAATTTATAAAGAATGGCGCTTTGCTACTGGTTTGAAGTGCAGCATGTCGATATCGTTCAAGCGACAGTTCCATTGGTACAGCACCCGTTGGTTCAACCTCTTCAGCAAATACTTGACTATCTGAATATTTAATCACAATTTAAATAAAATAATCGAATAATTTCAAAAACCATTTCAATATAATCGCAAAACCATACCGATTAGAAGTAAACGAACATGATTTATGACACCAGCCAAATGTTGACATACTCTGGTTCGTTCTTCTTCCGTCCAACGGCCGGGAAGCAAAGATGCCATTACACCAGCCTTATGTTTTGCCCACGATAAAACACATCGCCAAACATCTTCTTCTTCTAAACAAAACTAAATAAAATAACGTAAACGTATAGATTTGCCGTCTAAAACGAGTGTCAAAAATGATTTTAAATTATTTACATAGTCCGATGAAATCAGTTTAATGATGCCGTCTTTCGGTAAATTCAAAAATGAACTGGTTTTTACACATTCGGTTGCATTTTCGCCAATGTATGATGTGCATCGTTCCAAAAGTGAAGACGTACACTTTGCATCTAAAAAGACATATCGAATTTAATTTTAATAGTGGTAGCATTCATTTTCTAGATAAATTCAAGTGTTAAAGAAAAAGAGTGGGTGTTTGTTTGGTTGAATTAAAGAATGGAATTTTATTGAAATTAAAATACGTTTTATCTATTTAATGGCGATAGATTTATTTGACATCGAACAGAAGCCAGATTATCAGAATTGACCGGCCACTATGAAATCGACATGCATGTATTCTTATAACAAGATCATGGTTCTCACTAACCTAAGAATTTTATCTTATTAAACATGAATTTTGTATTTTAAAAAAAAATGTATTTATTGAATGTTTCGGTGTATACATTTGACGGCGGCTGCCACACTGACATAACCTCAATATACGTGTGTGTTTTGTATTCTATTTCTCTATGCTTGTGTTTACGATGATGAACTGCTAACATTCTGGATAAGCGTGATATTGTCTCCTTTCAGCATAATTCGGCCCAATGAACGGCGATTTTTTGTTTTAAGATGATATTCCTCAGCATCGTCCAGCACCAAATTCATGTATTCATCGAAACCAACGATATGACCCTCAATGCGAAGCGAAACATTCTCGTACAGCCACACTTGGACACGGGAACGATTTTGCAAATATCGAAAAATCAAGTTGATGGGCTGAACCATCACTTTTTGCACCTTTGTATTACTTTTGAACGACATTTTTACGATAGTTTTATCTTGTTTTTACTTGCTCAAACCGAATAAATTCAACAGTGATTGATATAGCTTGGTGCGGTAAAACAAAAGCGACAAATAAACGTTTGACAATCATCACACTTTTTACTTTCATACCGTCAGGGGGCACTATATATTTCGTTTTACACTTCTTTTCCACTTCACAATAGTTTCGTTTGGATTATAATTTTTTTTAATACACGTTTTTATTTTTTGTCCATTTAGATTTCATTACAATATATTATTTTTATTAGAATTTAATAAAATATTTTTTTTTATTTCCCGTAAAAAAGTGTTTCAATATGATATCAATACGAGTTCATATTGATAACACAGATTTCATGTAATGCCATCTACCGATCAATAGCGACCATAGCTTCTTGTACATAGGATATGTGTATGAGTTTATTTTCACTTCTCACTAACCGAAATAAACATTTCGAATGTTAAAATAAAAGAAAAATATCTACTTACTTGAAGATTTCTCTTGAATTTCCATAACGGCAGCCAAATAGGTGCAAGCATTTGTAACTGACAATGTGGAAACAACATAATCCTCACAGGCCGCCTTTAACTCATCGATACCAATATCCTGTGCCAATATCATAAGTTCAAAAACACGAGCATCTTGAAATATAATCTGTCATTTGTTTATTTGTAAAAAAAATGGATATGGATCAATACAACAATATAAAATCTGTGTTACGAAATTTTCGTCAAAATTAAATTGCATACCTTTCCAGTGTAAGCGTACAGAATAAATTGACGGAATACATTTGCATTTATGTGTGGCAGGCGAATTTGTGTTGGATTGCCAGAAACAGTTGGTGAAACAGTACATCCAGGAATGCGACAAATTTCATCTCTTTTTGTTGTCTGAAAACTTCTACATCTAAAATCAATATGAAAAAGTTCTTTCAGATCCGCACGCAGAAAAAAAAAGTTAATTTGGGTTTAAAAAAAGTCACACGAAACTTTTGAAAAAGTTCTTGATCGAAATATTTCAATATTCCGAATAATTTATATTTCGATATATAGAAATGACACGGACTGATTCGATCAATCAATCGATATATAATTATTCGTTAGAACTTTCAATGACAGAAAATGCAAATATAGTTCGAACGTGATAAGCAAAGGAAAAGTTATGACATGGATTGTTTTTCACGGCAAATCCGGAATTATATGGAAATTAAAAATCAACTCTGTCAGAATCAAAAGTACCCCACTGATAAACGGTCTTATTGATTTTCAATCGAAAATTCATGCCGAACTAATAACAACGAAAAAATTGTCTTGTTAAAAGTTTTGAACGATTTCAATAAATTAATCTCGAAATGCTTTCCATTTTACGGAAAATGGGAGAGAAATATCATCACATTTAATGTGTTCACACAAAGAACAAAAAGAATTCAAAGTGATTATATTCAACGCTCAACTTTTTTTGCGTATTTCGAAGAATTGGTGTTTTATTATTTTTTGCAGTCGTCGGGTAATTGGGTAAAATAAGCATTTTCTTTGAATTCAGAATTTCGTTTATACAGAATTTCCATTGGTAAGGCCGTCAGAAGATGTTTGTCTATAAAAAAAAACCAATCTTTCACTTCACTTTATATGTACCTAGCTTGTAGTATAATTCTATGAGCATAGATACGCTCTTCCTCTCGATCCACCAGGAATATAATATCGGCCGTTTCTTGATCTTCCGACAAACGTTGCAAATCGACCAAAAGTTGTGGCACGCCGGCAAGTGATTTTTCAGATACTTGAACTGCACCAAGCTTATCGTTCATTGTCTGAAGTGTTGATACTGGTCCAGGTCGTACTGTTGTTGTCATTTTGGCACAAATATTATTCGATTATACGGTCCAAATCAGTTTTATTTCTTAAATTGAAATGATAGTTTTTTATGACAAATAAATGTTTTATTTTATGATCGAACACCCTTTATATTTCGGAGACAAAAAAATGGACGATGCAATCACTTCACATGCATAACAAAACAGCAAACAAATTTTAACGAATTTTATTTGGAATTAATGTGTATTGATTTGAAAGAATTCAGCACAAATGATATTAACAATAACATTCTATTGATGTTTAAGTTTGAAAAAAAAAAAGACTAATCACTGACTTTATTATTGTTGTTGACGTGAACTATAGATGTGTGTATACGCGCATGTATGTATTATGTGATGTAAGCGCGCGTTGGTTTCAACCACTACAACACAAAAATGAACGCTGAAAACAGTCGCAACAGGTACAAAAAAAAAAAATACCTGAAATAAAGCAGCATTTCTTGCCATTGCGGTTGAAGAAGTGAGCTATAGCAAATGTTTCACATACATGCACACATGTGTTGATTTACTTCCAAAAAATTCCTTTGGTATAGCTGTGTAAATGTGTGGCGAAGCAGTTTCAAGAAGGATGCACAAGAGAATGGCAAAAACACAGTCACCATGGTATAGTGGAATATTCTTTTGGAATCCAAACACAGACACAAGGTAGAATGTAGTTTTGCCTATCATAAAAATTCAATTGAATTTCTCGGGATTATTAACTATTGTATATGTTAATATAAATGAGATGGTTAAATTACGATATATACTCTTCCGAAGAAGTTTTTAAATTGCCTAGATGTCGGAGTTTTATTTTTGTTTTTATCATTTTAGCTGGGGGAGTATCACAAAAAAATAAGTAAGCAATTTTCAACTGACTGCACCATCGAAGCAAGCAACTACGATGCTATTCAAATAAAAATCGGCAGCTAACAAAATAGATGCAATGTGACCGGTTTTCAGTTGGAACAAACTGGGAAACTGCGGCAATTAAAAACAATTTTTTTATTATTTCATGTTTTTTGTTCAAGCAAAAGTAACAACCATAGAGAAAACTAATCATATTCATTGAAAAAGAAAAATCATTCGTTTTCTGTCGATTTATCTGTTCGATGTGTTGATGTTGATTATGCTTTTTCCGATTACTGCTGCTTGATTTGATAATTGAATTTGTTGACTAATGAAAAAGTAAATTTTTAAGTGATTCTCCCCAACCATTTTACGTTTGTTTCAAGATGCTATTTTTATCATTTATGTTTTTGCAAGTACATTGCTATATTTGGCTTGATTTGAAATGATTCGATGGGACTTTTGTTACGTCTTAATAAGGAAATAAAGTGTAGAATTTGACAGACTTGTAGAATTTGATGGTGGGAGTGTTTTGCCGATGAATGAAATAAATAACTTTTTCCATGACATCACATCACATCCATCGAATAAATTATATTTTGGTGCGCTCGTCTAGGGTGTGAGTAAACAAAGAATTCGTTCGAAACCTCTTGTGTGTCTCGCTTTCAAATATATGTTTGTTCGTTCATTCACACAAAAATGCACACAATTGACTGCACAAACAGCACACAGTCCATATGTGCAAATGTGAAATTGTTTGTTCGCACCTAGAATCATTGGCGCGCACATATCAATATTGAAGAAAGGGGGAGAGATAGATATACAGAGAACGAAACGACCGAGGGTGGTAAACCAATTTCCTTTGCTGTCATTCAAAATTTTCGGAATGCGAAATGAAATGCAATGCATCATATTTTGCCATCCAAATTGTTGTTCTTTTCCTTTCCCCGATTCGCACTTCAAAATTCATCGAAAACTTTTATCAAGTTCATATATATGTATATACGACTTGTTCAACAAGTAATTTTTATGAAATAATGAAAATACCATCAAAAATTCAAAACGGCCCATATGAGAGATATAGTACACTAAGCTCAAAACAAGTATTCATTGTTGAAAATTCGATTTTCACAATTTTTTGATTGGTATTTACCACTTGATAGATTACGGCTCGTTGAACTTGATGTGTAAACATTTGCTGTTGTTATCAGTGTGAATGGTGTTTTTTATTCATCTCGGAAGTGTTCAGTTATGGATTTTTCATCAACACTTTAAATGAATAACCTGCTGCGCCACTTTTTTAACATTTAAAAATAAATCATATAAAATTAGAAAATCAATAATGATATTATTTAAACTTAAAATACATTTTAACTTGGTTAAATTTCAATGCAATAAACAAATTTTCAATCGATAAAATCTCCCATTTTGAGGAAAAACGCATTTATTCTGGAAATATGAGAGAGGCGTCATATTTATGGGTTTTACTAACCATAATTTGAAATGTTCTCTTGTGTTATGTGAGCCAAATTGTTCGACGTTTTGCGTATATGAATTGTTTTGATGATCGACAGGGAAAGGAGTTTGGCGAAGCAAGAAACCCAATAGATAAGATGTATGCGGTACTTCTGCGTCTCATATTTCAGGGTCAATGAAATAAAACATAATGGAGATTGCTGCTGGCTATTGCCTATCTGGGTGTATATGCATAAGTGTGCGTTTGTTGTCAGTGTGTGATATAATTTTAATCTCTTTCTCTCAACTTTTTCCATCATTTTGTTGTTGCTACGATGCTCATCGATGCTTCCGTATAAAATGCGGCTAGAATTTTATTATTTTGTGACCTTTCGAGGTTTAATGTGCTCACTGAATCGGCATGATATTGTATTTTCAGCGTGTACGTACTTTATTCTTTCAATCTCTCATAGATTGATAAACATGAAGTCTTCTCTTTTTTGTCAATCAAACTTTGTGAAATTATCTGAGTCGAGGGTCTAAGATTACACACAGAGAAAGTTTCAGTTGAATTTCGATTCTTTTTTCGCTCTCTTCAATGCATACCGTGCGTCTTAAAATCAATATTTTTTGATTTTTTGTGATTCGATTTAAAAAAAAAACTTTAATAAAATCATTCGCTTTTTTCGCATCTTTTTTATGAAAAATTTTTCTTGGATTTTTCATCGTATGATTTGATTTTAGTTGGTCCAAATCAATAGAATATTTGACAAATCATTAATTTGAGATGAAAAGCTCAGATCAAAAAAATCACTTGATTTAATTTGAGAAACAATGATTAGGTGAAATCAAATCAAATCTCACTTTTGATTTTGATTTAAAATCCAAAATTGACAACCCCTGAGTCACATACTCTGTCTACATTCATTTATTTCTATAAGTATTGCGCACGCACGTTCAATAACAATAGTATACATTTAGAGTCCTGTTGGTTCATCTCGCGGTGTCATCGCTTTGTGTCTGGTGATTCAAAAACACAATACTAAATCGTATTGCTAGAGCTTTGTGGTGTAGTTTTGAGTTTATTTTAACGTGAATTTCCTAGTGAAAAGAAAAGAATTTAAATAAAAACAAAAAGAGTTATAATGTTCGTCTCGAAAATGTAAGTTGCAATCAATTGTTTGTATTGATTTTCTATAACAAAAAAAAAAACGTAAATATTTCTATTCACAGAACGATTTCGGTCGTCTTTTTGGCGATATTTTGTATGGTATTTGGTACAGACATCGAAGTAACAAATATCACAAATGTTGAATGTGAACCAACTTCAAATGATGCATTATGTTACGTTGCTGAACCGATTGTGGTGATGCCAAATCAGAGTATATCGTTTGCTCTAAGCGCATCTCAGGCAAATAATATTTTGGAATTTTCCGTTTCGTATAACGCAAAAATGCAAATCATACCGCGTGGCATTTTCGAAACGTTTCATTATTTAGAGCAATTGAAACTGCAAGGTGTGCATTTGAAAACATTACATCACAGTGACTTTGAGAATGCATGGAATTTACATAATTTAACATTGAGCGACAATAAATTGGAGCGCATTCCGAGTTCGATTTTTTCACGAGCCGTTAATTTAATGGAATTATATCTGGATGGAAATGAAATATTGCATTTGGAAAATGACGCTTTCAATGGTCTACATCAACTTTATTTTCTTTCGCTCAACCGAAACCGTTTGATTACACTAAAATCATTTTCATTTAGTGGTGCCACTCATTTAACCGACCTGCGATTGGAATACAATGAAATTGATGTGTTGGAGCCGGGCGTTTTCGATTTACCCGATTTGATGTTTTTATATTTGGGACATAATCAATTGAAAGCAATACCAGATGATTGCTTCAAAAATATGCAATTGATTGGATTAGACTTACAATCAAACCCAATAACTCATGTAGGTAATTCCATTTATGAACTCAAAAGTCTTCGTACATTGATTCTTTCGAACACTGACCAAATCACTGATTTCAGCATCACACGAATGTACGAAGTGAATCCTTTAGTTAATGTACAAAAAAAATCATAAATCAATAAATAAACACGATTGAAATAAAGTTTTATTTGTAAAATATCCCATTTTATTGGTATTGATTTAACGTTGAAAATAAAATTGACATGTAATTTTACTAGAAACATTGTACAATGAGAAATAAAAAAAGGTAACCTTTTCGAGTAAAAGTCATGCTTTTTTATTGATTGAAGAAAGAAACATTTCAAATTTTGAATAAACATGTAATTTATTTTCATTGTTTAATTCGATTATACTTTTGTTTCAATTATCTCTGGATTTTGTTGACAATTTATCTTGTAAATAATCGGAATTAATTTGCAATCTTATTACGGTATATCGATTTACGGAATTTGTATGTTCAACTTGGGTAGGTATTATTGAACAATTGTATGTGGTAAAAAAGGTGCGAAATATCTGCTTACAAATCGATATACTGTTCTAGACTAGATTTAAAAAAAAATGTAATATATATAATATAGTATGGGATGGTTGACTGACTAATGCAGTTTGCTTAAACACTGTGTTCGCTACTTTTCCTTTTTCATTTTCTCTCCTTCTCGATCGCATCAAATTCCAATTTCCCACAAGAAGCTTAGTGTGCTGTCATTCAAGCTGACAGAAGATTATGCGTAATAATGCAAGACGATTCTATGTGGCTATATTTATTGAGTGCAATTGTCGATAAAGATTATTTATGTAAATCGAAAATGAGATTATAACAAATGGAATTGACAAGTGTATCGACTGTGGTGTGCCACAAAGTGGTGCAAAATGTAAATATGCGCTAGCCCAACACGAAAATATCATCTGTTTAGAATTTGTTGGATGGTATAGCAAGTGCACACATCACAAAATTTTCATAACAGTTCATGTACTTTGCAAAGAAGAATATATGTGATTATCTATTTTGTTTTCAAATTACTCTGAAAGACGGATTGTGAACTGAATGTCCCAATCGGAACCTGATTATTAAACATGTCAAAAAGTTGAGAGCATATATAAAGTGTGTATCACATCTCTTGGGAACCAATATAATCGAACCGATTGCGATCAATCAGCAAAAGCTGAGCAAACCGAATTTTCACTGGACGAAACTTAAATTTGCGCCCACAAAATGGTATGAAATATATATAGTTCATTTCTTTCGTTCGAATGACTTATTCAAAATCGAGATTATGCAAACCCAGTTATTATTATACAAAGAGTTTTTTTTTATTATACCATAAAAAATCTACCGTCGGAAAAAATGAACACAAACGTCTTTAATAAAGGGAAAAAATGATTAGTAACAGTGAAGTAGTTTTTTGATAGTTGGCAAAGAAAAACACTCAACAGTTTTGTGAATATTTCGATGATGAAATCGCTTCAAATCACATGATACGTACACAATATTCAGAATGGTATTTGCATATACCATTACATTTGCCCTGAAAAAGAAACTATAACGATGGGGCCTATGGTATTTTCTTTTCCATTTCACATCGCCTAGTTTGCGTGAGAGATTTTGTTTCTTTGCAACCGTTTCACAATAACACAATAAGCCTCTTTGCATATAAATAAATACGTACGCACTCATCGGTTTGCGCTTAAGGGTTCACATAAACAAAACAAGAGAAAAATAGCACCGAGTTGAAAAGAGTGCAGAAATCGTTTGATGTTTTTTTTATGGAGCCCTCCCTTTCTCTCTGTGTGGGTGTGTGTGTATGCAAATGAACGAATGAACGAAGTGAAGTGTGTTTACACTCTGACATTTTTTAAGAGTTTAGGTATCTCTATTAATATCACAGTAGGTGTTCATCTCGAATCTCGTCGATTTGCATTTGCCACAGTCAGTCCTTTGATAACATTTCCTTTTGATGTTTCATCATGTTGTTGTTGTCGCCGTCTTTAATATTTTTTAAGGACTTTTTATGCATTCGAACAATCCTAATTGCCTAAAATCAATTTCACTTGGATATGTTCAATTTTCTACCGCATTTCCTAATATCTTCATTAACCCGTAATGGGCTACTGATGGATTTCTTTTTATTATATTATTATCTAATTAGAACTCGCAATGGTGTGCATGTAAAACCTTATTTTCTTGTTGATGGAGTTCATAAGTTGGAATAAAAGGGGTTTTTTTCGACTCATTTTGTCATACTTCGATTCGCCACTTGAGCGAATTCACAGGAGTTTTTCCTAATTGCATTTTTACCTTTTTTTTAAGTCAAAGTGAAAGTCAAAACGACAAAATTTTAGCATTCAGAGTGCCGCGATATCAAACCACATACACTTCCTTTCAACTTTTTTATACAAAAGGAATTTAAATAACACATCGTCTATATACTCACGAGAATCTCTTTCTCTTATCTCCAATTCTTTGGAGTGTCATCAACTTATACCGAAAAATTGTGTCTCTTATGCGTAACTGAATGAAAAAAAGTAAAATATGATATGAATGCATTTGGTATGCAGCGAAAATTCATCAAATATGGTATATAATTGGAACAAAAGAAGATAATACAAGGGAAAAAGAAGTCGAAAACACACACACATAAACATACAATATAGTTAATCAAAGTCGTTTGTTTATTAGCTTTGATTTAACCGTGCATCACTCGTTACTAGATATTATGATGCTTTCTTTGTTGTTTTGTTTAAGTTTTGATCCAGGATTTATGCGTGGATTTGCTTCAATTCATTAAAAAACGTTGTGAAAAAGAGAATGAAAATAGTTATTAGAAACAACGGTAGAAAAGTGGAAATACTTGCATTTTCCATGCATCTGAACACAATAAATGGAATGTTTGATAACGCGACATCGTTGCAACAATTCACTTCTGCACCAAAGAGAAAAATTAATTACAAGTACTAATCATCACAAGATTTATTATGTGGATATTTCAACCAAAGTTTAATTAGCCAAGTACTTTTGCATACCACTCCACACGAACATCACAAGCAATCCATATGCACCTGTGACAACAGAATGCTTTTCGATATATGTTTGTTATGAATATTCTTGTTGCATTTAGATGATAATATCAATATCCCATTCAACTTTGACGATTAATGTACACAATACGAGTTTAATAGAAAGATTTGAGATGCTTGTTTAAAATGTTATTTTTATAAGTGTGTAATGTAATTTTTTCTTAAAAAAATAATAAAAACATGTTCAATGAAAATGAATGTCAATGTTGTTTTTTTTTTATGGAAAAAGAAAACTAATCAAGAACGGTCGAGTTTCCCGTACCATTTTGAAACCAATATAACGTGATAAAATCACGATTTTCAACCATTGAATCTTGTTGAGAGCTAAATGCACCATTCAAAACATCTACTAATCAAACGAATATTGAAAAAAAATTTCTGCTTTATAATTTGACGTGGCGATTTGTGGCGTATGAGTGCTTTACCGCAAACCTATAAGTATTTTCATTTTATCATCACAATAATAGTTGAATGAAAGCGAAAAAAAAAAAACAATTTTTTTTCGAAATAAACTATTTTCGGGGGGATTGCAAAATTGAGACTGACAGTGATTCATACAGTCTGCATTCTTTAGGTAATACAAATATTAAATGAAAAGATCTATTGATCATGCATTTTTGTTTGATTATTTCGATGGGAAAGCACTTCACATTTCAAAGATATCACGTAATAAAAATGGGTAAACAGAAATGTTTTAAAATGGAACCCATTTGAAGTGAATGAGATGATACAGACATTTAAACACATCAAACGTATCGGAATTTCGTCGTTTGGAATTTTGATTACAATATGCGAACCGCATATTAATGATGAGAACATATTGTTACAAAAACTAAAAACAAAGAGCAATGCCAACAGGTATTTAACCATCGTTTCGTTTATTCTATTGACTCGAGTGTGAATGGAATTACTGTAAAATAAATAAATGAAAAAAGGCCACATTCAATGACTCTAGTCCCAAATGGAATCTCATTACATATTTATAAATGTGCTCTAAATAGTTAAAATCATAAAATAAACACACTACACACCCACTAGAACATTATCGAACAATTTTCAACGGCATTTAAGTTTTCATCGAAAACATGCAGCTCTTTTTCGTTTCACATGTTTAAGTATTGTTTGTAATGTTAATTTTTCGTGTTTTTGTTCGGTTTTCTCTTTTGATCTCTCCCTCTCTCTCACTTGATCTACCACAGCCTCTTGCATTTAAATTGCGAAAAGAATTCAAGTCTTACTTCATTTGATAGCTTAGAATGTTAGAATTGAAGATTTATAAATTGAAATTCATATACAATTGAAAGTCCAAGAATGAAAGAGAAAAACAACAAAATCGGACATTGAAATACCGGTCAAGAAACTGTTCAAATTGTAAAACCAAAACAACATTTTAGTGAAGTGACGCGCAATTTTCTTTGGTGTTATTTTTTGATACATTTCTGTGTTGTGAGTAGAAGTCTCGTTTCATTCTCGGACATTCAAATGGACAATACATTTTTGGGTCCTGATTCGATAGTACCTTTTTTACTTTTCAATTACATTCACCGTATGGAGAAAATATTCGGAAATGGAACATTATCTATTCCCATTATTTTGTGTGTGTGTGTCCATCGACTATATTTTGGGATAGTCGAGACTCATGCATTTTATATAAACTATTCTTACTTCATTGCATTTAAATATTGGTTTTTACTAATGAATGCACACAAACACCACATCACACTTGAATTGTTTTTATCGAACACCCTTTATTGCCGAAAAAACAACACAAACAAGTGGAACAAAGTTAATTGACAAACAATAGCTTTAAACTTTGGAATTTCGTTCAATTTTCGATGTGACTCGTGGTAATACTGCTTTTGTTAATAATGGGAGGCGATTTTTTGGGTCTCTTGTGTGTGTCTGTGTGAGTGTGTGTTAGATATAAACGTTTCTCAGCACCGAGTCCGATCCAAATGAGATTAGCAATTTACGGAAGCAAAGACTTATTGAATTGCTTGCTTTGTTTGGTGAAACGGATAATAGGGCCAACTGGCAAAGCAACGACATGAATGAGAGAAATTAACATTTCAACGTCTATTTAGCTCCATTGAAGCAATGAAAAGCTTTAAGTAATTCGTTTTGTTTCCACATGGATGTTGTTCGAATTTAGATTAAAATTTCATCTAATCCGTGCATTCAGTCAACACGCTCGACAGTGCATCGTCGTAATTGATTTCTCAATTGCGTTATTCACAATGACGGTTAAGTTAAACTTGTGCGGCAATGTGTTACAATGCGAATACAATTCGACGCCTCTTCGAATCACTTGGAACGCATATGTGTTTTGTAACATAATCGAACAATAATTGCATTTCCATTTAAATGCTTTTGTTGTGTCTCCTATCTATCATCTGCTTGCTGTATGAAACAAAGATCTATCTATCATCTTCACTAAAATCCAAATAAATGGGCTCGAACGACGTTTATTGTATTCACACAGATTACGAGAAATGAATAAGTGGCAAAAATCGTACAACACATTTGAAAATGTTATCACCAATTTCATGTATATAGCTCGGTTGCTCGAATGTTGACGATATTTCATTCGTGTAATTCAAACTTTCGCAAAGTTTTCCATCGTTATCATGTTCTTTTCTCTCATTTAACCGCTGGCGTTAAAGCGATTTTTTTTTTCTATTCCAAACGACATTTGCTCATAAGAAAAAGATGAAGAAATTAAAATGGACGCTTTTTACGCGCTTTCAGTGCACTTCATGCGAAACCTTAATCGCATCTCAATCATACCTAAGAATGTGTAGTACGTCAAGTGGATATACAACGGTTAATCGAGCGCATATGGTTTGAGTTAATTACGCCGCTTGCTATCGACGACCTATTCAAAGGCAAATAAATTTCCAATTCGTATACCCTTGCCAATTGTATGTGTCTCTGAATGAATTGAAAGCGACGCAAAATCGATTCGCCGTACTGAATGCGAACCAAAACGCACATTTATTCTCCCATTTTAAGCAAACTTTATTGCCTAAACAAAGCCAACTTCAAGCACACCAAAACATGTATATACTCTTTGAAAATGTGAATATATTTCAGAGTTTACTAGTGGCTGATTGCATTGTGCTAACTAAAATTTTGTGCAGATATTTTCAGCTGACGGCAGCCTCTTAGAGGTTTGAACAGGCATGATTCAAACATGGAAATAGCAGCTGAAAATATCTGCGTATATCAGCCAGTGCGATGAAATCGCAGTCACTATGTATGCTCTAGGATATATTTTCTTGTCAAAATATTTTACACCTTTCAGCGCAGATAAAAGCGCGAACAACAGCAAACAGATGTGAAAGCAACAATACGCACAAATGATGCTGAGCGCTTGCCATACTTCGCTATCAGATTTTTTGGATGGAAAACACTTGAAGATTTGAATTGGATTTTAGTGCATCGAACTTTTTTTTTGTATCTGCGTCAAGTGTCTGCCGTCAAGTGAAATGCGTTGAAAATTTATCATTCACCTTCCCTCTACCTATGCCCAAAATTCCCATCATCGTTTCACGTCCATTACACCCCGATGGATGGATGTGTTGTTGTTGCTGCTGTTGTTTTTTTCTTTCTACGGTAGTTCTCGAGTGCGTTTCCTTTTTGTGATTCTCTCGCTTCACAAGAGTGACACGTTTTTCGAATACGCGTGTCACATGCATACGAACTTTACTTTTAGGCATCCATCCACTTGAATTTATGCTATTGAAACATCAAATGCTTTTGTCGTATTGTGTATTGCCGGGGCCTCCTCCATCACTTTATTATGATTTTCTTTTGCTTTCAATTTATCTTTTCACGATATTTTGCGCGCCGGAGTTAAATCGATTTTAAAGTATCAAACAAATATTGAATGTTGTAAAACACGGCGACCAGTAGTACACTCGTATCAGAGCAGTGAGTGAGAGAGAAATGCAAAAAAAAGAGAGACATAGAGCCAGAGATAAAGAAGCATACAACCGAACGAAGCATGAATGTTGGAAGCTGCCAGAATATCAAATACATAACATGTATAGGTGAATTGAGATGAGAAATGAAGGTAAAGCACAACCAGAGAAAAATTCAATTTAAATCATTTCTTATTTGCCTTCGAGATATATTTTAGTGTTGGAATCTTAAACAAACAAGACAAGAATATTAAAAAGTTTTTAGTCGCTGTCGGTATATTTTGGCTTCCGTTTTCGTGACAATTTCTCTCTCTATTTCTCTCTCTCTATCTCCCGATATTTCGAAAGCAGAGAAAGACTTTCCATGCTTACCGTACTCGAACAGAATCTGGCCGCTTCAATGCCATTATTATTCCAATGAAATAAAGTCAAACATATTTTTGGTTTTTTTGGTTTTCAGATTTGTTTGAATAAAATCACATCAAAAATTTGATAAATAAATAATTCTATATTTGACTAAATTCTTTTTTCCGTTTCGGTTCCTTCGGACGGTTCTTCTTGATTACAAAATTACCCACCCATCCACCACACTTTATACAATAAATAATTCTTATTTTTGAGAAAATGGAATGGGCATCATCGCAGCATTGAGTTTGTTGAGATCGTACCGAGTTTTGTCATTGAGACACGTACGACCAGTTATACCATCTGCAGTCAATTCTAAATTTGAGTCTGAAGCGAGCTCAATAAGATGTGGATTTGACACAAAATCACTAAGAACAATACTTTTGGGCACTTGAATGTAATACAACCATTTTCCAGGCTCACAGTGTCTTAGAAGCGGTCGATTGTTCGGGCATTGTATCTGACATCCGTGACACCGATCGTTTTCATAGTAATTGTCACGATGGGTACCACACTCATTCACACACTTTTCATATCCATTACAATTTGTCCTGCATTGAAGTGATGAGAAAAAATTGATTTAAACACCTTTAAAAAAACGATTGTAATGCCAACAATTGACAACCGCTTACCTGCACCTATCTACAACAATACACTCATTATGACATTTTTCGTTGCCGTTGCACTCATTGTGACATGTTTTGCATCGGTCTGTTTTACACGGTGGCGGTGGGGGTGGTGGCTGCTGTTCAATAACCAACACTTGCTTTTCGACATATTCAGGGGCTGGCTTTGCAATTGGTATTGGACCTTTCTTACGGCGAAGCAACAGTCCTAAATCAATGATATTAAATGAAAACATTTTTTATTTTAAATATTTTTAATACACACCTGGATCAGCTCTTAATAATACGATACAAGTCGAAATTAGTAAAATTAAATGTAATTTAGACATTTTAAAAAAAAAATTATACTTTTACACAAGAAAAAGAACTGATTCTCCAAGCTCGTGTAACAGTCTTTATATACGAAAAAATCTCAGGTCAGATAATTTTCGATTAAATGCAAATATTTATTCTATGTGTAAATGATTCATTAATTCTATCAAATGGGTATAATGCGTACTTGATTTTATCAAAAGTATGTAAATAGTTCTGTTTGACAAGTGTCATTTTTTGATAAATTAAATGTTTACATTATATTTTTTTGCTATTTTTGAAGCCGATTCAAGCTTTTGTGTTTATTCTGTCACGCTTTTATTCGTCATCTCAATCGAATTTGACATAATTTGTCCAAAAATCAATGTCGATTGCATAATTTACTTTTATCAACCTTCCAAAAGATTCCATTCCGACAGTACATCTGAATCAATAAAAATATGAGTAAACATTTTCCAAGTGGCGCTACGTATCACAAACAATAATTTAAAAAGAAATAAATTTCAAAATGAGAAACGGTGTATAAAACCAGGGCTGATTCAAGCGTTTCACGTACCTTGGGGTAAATGTAAACCAATATTGATACTTCAGTGTATATAACATTAATTTCATATCAAAAGTAGAACCTATTTCAATAAGTTTGAAAAGAGTGTAGAAAGAGTTCCAGCCCTATAATCTGTTTAAAATATAATAAAATTCGATTTTTCTTATATCGTAAATGAGAAAAAATCCCGCTCTCGCGTCCTGAGGCTGTTCCGGTTCCCCATTTGCTCTGATACAAATGGTAATAATAGTATCGGAAAAAATGATTTATACAATTGTATAAAATATACCGAAAAAAATGAAAGATGACAAGACATGTATTTCTACATAAATCAGTTGAAATCCCATCTCTAACGACATACTTTACCTCCAGTATTGCCTTCAAATGCGTATAATTTTACTTCACACGCGCAAATTGTTTTTTAATGTAATTACTCCGATTTTTGTATGTGTGTGTGTGTCATTTTTCACATAAAGTGAAGTCAGTCTTGAAATGAATTTGAGTAGCACATACATTTGACGGTGCAATGTGTAGTGTAAATTCAATTTTCGGTTTACGCTCAATTCGGTACACAAATTCTATTATTATTTTAAATGATTCAAATGAAGTCCTTCATATTTGTTGCTTCATTTTCACCTTATTCATGCATATATTTCGTTTTATTTCGCTCTTTACTTTACTCATGTTCTCACTTTTCAAAGCACTTCTAATTTTTTTTGTTCCCATCGTTCTTCTGATTGATTTTTATGTTGTGCTTAATTTATATCGTTTGTCATTTTCACTATCACCATCTTTATCATACTGGCAGTGTACGTGATTTGAATACGTGAATAATAATAATCAGACCCTTTTCTTAGCGTCAGCAGTAAACAATACATTTTGTGGTACAGCTGACTTGAACATGGGGCCATATTTTAAGCTTTCATCAAAATTGTGTTTCTTGTTGTTGTCACCACAATGTGGCCATCGTTTCATATATCAGAGTAATTTAAGTTCTCCGCATGTAAAATATTGCATTCAGATATATATAAAATATATATTTCATACGAAAATTGAACGGTTGAAAAATATCAAATGAAGATAAGTTAAATTTTATTTTCTTTTCATTCATATCAAATTCTGATCGAATATACGATCCCACTCAAGACAATTACGTATACATTTTTTTTCATCTTGTACGTGACCACACCACGCAAGCGAGCCGAAGAAATGTCAGAAATTGTCATTGATTTGTTATTCAATATTTTGTATTTGTGCATGAACAGTTGAACACTAAACATTAAATCATACACCATAATGGAACGCCAATTTTTTAACATGAGATATGCTTCCTCATACATTGTGTAAATTGAACACCATTATGGCGAGAGCTATTTTAATTCGACGATGAAAGAAAAAACAACTCTCATTATCCAACCACTGAAAATCAATTATCATTTGCGTTTTACGATTTCAGTAAAGCATTCCTCTTTGTTCTTTAGATCTTTACATAAGGTGCACGCACGATTGTAGAAAAAAAAAAAAAAAAAAAAAACACACACACAAAAAGAGAAAAATAAGAAATATTGTCAATATGTCATCTTCGGTTGCGTTTCTTTTCCTTTTTTAATCAATTTTTTTTACACAATTTCAGTTATTGCAATATTTTTGTCGTATTGAGAAAGTGAGAGTGTTGTTTTCTCTTTACCAATATTTCAGACTTATCTTTTGAAAGTTACTTCAGTAGCCAATAGCTAAAATATTCAGAAAAAATGTAAATCAATCTAAAAGAAACATGCGGTGTTTTTTCAGTCTTTTTTTTTCAAAGGCCATTTGTTGTCTTCTTTTTGTATTTTTTTTTCTTTTGTTCATTTCATTTGTGCCAAAAATAAATAAATAAAAAACTATTTGCCAGTTTATTTTGTCACCGCTTAAATATTTTATTTTAACTTTGCATCATTGTTGTTTTTTTTCACTAACAATTTTATAACAATAATCTTAGTCTACGAGTTTTATTTTTAACAAGAGTTCTTTTGCTTTCGAACACATTGAAAATGGTAATGGTATTCAATGCATTCAAGCCGATCACAAATATCAATGGGATCAATGTTTGTAAATCAATTAATGAGCTGGTCCATAAACTGGTGATGGTTTGTGATGTGGCACTGCTGGTGCTGATGGACCGAATGATGGGGCTGGTGCTGATGGAACAAATGATGGAGCTGGAATTGGCAATGATGCTTCTGCTGAACCAGATTGAACTGGAAGTGAAGATTGCTCTTTTTGGGCCTTGTATTTGATGAAGTAAACCTGGTAGAAAAGTGATATAAAAATGAAATTTTCGTATATTTAGTTTAATGTAATAATATTTGTTTATTTTATTTAAATTCAGTTATTACACTTACCTCTGGTTTTGATGGTTGAGTTGGAGCTGCTTGAAGGTTTTGAGTCAATTCCGAAACTGATTCTGGCTTTTTCACAAGAACATAGACGAGGGTCTAATAAGCGAAAAGAGAAAGAGATGGAACATTTAATTATCGAATTAAATACGATGAAACTACACGTTTGGTGTTTGATTTTTACCTTTTCTTCGGTTTGTGGTTGAGCCAATTGTTGAAGTTGTTGTGCGCTCACCGATGGTGCTGATGGAGCCTTAATGAAGATAATTTTGTAGTGTTTTTGAGCTTGAACTGGGGCAACAGCGTTGTGTGGTTGGGCGAACTCATCTTCTTGTGGTGGTGGAACATGAACTTTACGTTTGAGGAAACAATTAAAATTGGTTAAAATGAAATAAACAACATATATATTATAAGTTTTTATTCTTACCGTAAATGTGTTTTTGGATAAGAGCTTGTTGAGGTTGTGGTTGAGGAGCAAACGATCCGCCGAACGAGGAACCAGATGAGAATGATGGCTGAGCTCCGCCGAACGAGGAACCAGATGAGAATGATGGCTGAGCTCCACCGAACGAGGAACCAGATGAGAATGATGGCTGAGCTCCACCGAACGAGGAACCAGATGAGAATGATGGTTGAGCTCCACCGAACGAAGAACCAGATGAGCCGAATGATGAACCGAATGAAGAGCTACCCGAAAAAGATGATGATGATGGAGCTGATCCAGTGAATGATGGTGCTGCAGCTAATAAAATAAACACAAAATAAAATTCTCACTCAATGTTTAATACCACAATTTAAATTATTATCAAATGAATATCAAGCGCAACCATGTCGCATCACAAGAAGAGCATATATGTCTGTAAATATTTTTTATGCGCCGTTTATTGTTGCTTGTGTTTACTAAGTCGTCTCATTTTTATTCGAATGCACAAATTAAATTTACCGAATCCAGGTGTGCTCAATCCAACTGATGGAGCACTAACACCAAAATTATGTGATCCACCAAAGCTTGACGATGATGGTTGATTGTATGAATATCCTTGTGGCTTGGCTACAGCCAAAGCAATGCACGATAAAACAACAAACACTTTCATTTTTTTAAAAATATATTTTACTTTGCACTTGTTAAATTAATAAGCCACACTCGAACTATGCCGTATGCCTGATTTGGTAGCAAATGTTGATCTGATGATTAGTTCATCTTCACTGTGTCTTTTATATGACGAACATTTCCCTCACTCATGCCACTGTGTATTTTCACGAGAAAAAAAAACTCGATGCGAATATAACAAACAACAAAAAAAAAAAAAAGACAATGGCTACTCTCGCAAACTTTTTTTTGTTTCTTTTGACCCGATCGATGTTCCGGCTACAAACGCATATTATATTATGCTATCGGTGCCATCACTTCATTTAACTAAAACATATGATGATTATTGAGCATCGAAGAAAAAAAAACAACTCACGCACACCATTCCACACGGTAAAGTCCGGTGTGAATAAATTTTCGTGATGTGATTGTCGAGAAACGCGCAAAAGAAGCAAAAGCAAAACAACTATATAACAGAGAAAACTATACACACAAATTTGACCATTGACCGAATAGAAATAAAAAACACACAGCCGAGAAAAAAGTCTACGATAAAAACCAAAAACATACATAAATAAGAAAGACGAAGAAAAAATAGCAGTTGAATAAATGATGATGAAAAAAGCTCACAACAAATAAATATTAATTAACAACGTTTCGTTTTGTTCACCTACATTTTTCGATCTGCAATTTAGAAGACGATCGACAAGAAAGCAATGATATACGCATTGAAACGAAAGCGAAATTTATATGCGCTATTGTTTGATGCTCATATATTCAAATTTAGTGACATGTCACAAAAGAAAGAGACAATAAACGGCGGACAAAAAAATCTAAAACCAATAAATGCGCTAAGATTAATTCAGATGTGCATAATAAATTAAGTAAAGCCACAGATACAATATGGTTGTGCATGTGTGAGTTTTTTTTCTTTTTTTTTCATGTTGAAATATATGATTTTTCTATATTTTAATGTATGACACTATTTTTTGTCACCCAAAACTCTGAAGACTGAAAATGATTTTATCGGTCTGTAAATGCGAAGAATCAGTGAAATGAAAAAGTTAAATTGATTCGTTCCGGGTCAGTAGCATAATATGCATTTTTATGGATATGAAATAGCTTGATTCGGAGCGACTAGATTGACGGTGAAAATGGATGGTCATTGATGAATTGTCATGATTTTTTTCTTCACATGTTCTGTTTAGTCACATGTGCTATAGAGCGCACATTAAATTTACAAAAAGTACTTCGTTCGTTTCACTTCTGTGTTACTTTTTTTTGCAAACTCTAATGATAATCGACTTAATTTGGTGATAATCATTACACAAGCACCCAAATATGTTTAAGAGAGAAAGGTAATAGTGCATATGGTTGTTTGTTATTCATCGCATATTTTTTTTCTCTCTCTATCCTCTCTCAAAATTATTTCTCCATCTGAAAAAAGATGAAACTCATGCACAAAAAAATCCCATTTCGATAGATTCATACGCACTGACCGCCGCTTTTTTTTAACTGTATTTTTACCACATTTGTAACTGATCAGGTGCTTCGATTAAAATTATATCATCAAATGCAAGCGGCGTATTATTAGCTAACAACAAAATATTTATTGGTCCATTGTGTATTGTTTTAATTGCGTTTTGTTATTGACGACTCATCCGAGTGATGAGCATTAACGCACATAATAAAGGTAACACATTTGAAGAAAAATCCGCATATAATTAAGACATGATTGTGTTGATAAAATATCGTGGGCGCTTTGCGTTAATTGCCGATTATGCTTTCGTTCGTATATAGATCAACTGGAAATTGGCTAATTTCGGTTGTAAACGATAAAGTAGTGCGGCTTTTGTTTACTCAATTCATATTCACATGGTAAATTATTTTGTATTCTGAATTGGCCAACTTTGATGTTAGTTAAGATTGAAAAAAAAGAAGCCTTGAAATGAAAACAAGAGTAAATTGTTTCATCGTAATATTTATATTTTTAATTTAATTATTTTAGAATAATAATCTTAAGCTAGATGGTGGAGTAGATTGTCCACACAATTTTTTGTGCGATATTATTGATGATCAGCGATTTGAAGAGTAATTAGAGAGAGTCGGATTTATTGGATGGAGAAATTGACGATGCAAGAAAAGAGTTGCGATTGCGCACAGACATTAGGTTTGAGCTATGAATATAACGGCTGCTATTTCATAGGCGCTATTTAACTCGTTTTAATGCGTTTATGCACGTTCTGCGTTATTTTCTACATCTCTCTCGTACTCACATTCAAATGTACAAAAGAATAGTAGGCTATGATATTCCTACTCGGTGTTACACACAGTACACAAATTGAATAGCGCCTATGAAATAGCAGCCGTTATATGCATAGCTCGAGCCTAATGTCTGATTGCGCATGATTGAGCCGAAAGAAGTCATGGTTTGAAATGAAAGAATTGTTCAGAGTTAATTTTGTCACCGTAATATTTATTTTTTTAATTTAATTATTTTAGAATAACGATCTTAAGCTATGCAAGTCATTAACGATAATATTCAAGTCGAATGGCAAAAGTCGAATTCAAATCATTTAGTGAGCTGGGCCATAGGTTTGTGCAGGTTGATGGGCAGGTTGAGGTGGCAAGTATTGTGAAGAAGCAGCAGCTGGTGCTGAAATTGGTGCTGAAACTGGTGCGGATGGGGCAGATACTTCGACTGATTCAGTATCGACCGATGAAGAAAATGCTGGTGATGATGAACCGAATGTTGAGCTACCGCTGGACAAGGATGAACCGAAGGTTGAGCTACCGCTTGATGAACCAAATGTTGAGCTACCGCTTGATGAACCGAATGTTGAGCTACCGCTGGACAATCCACTTGATGAACCGAATGTTGAGCTACCGCTGGACAATCCACTTGATGAACCGAATGTTGAGCTACCGCTGGACAATCCAGAAAATCCGCTTGAGCCAGCTGACAAACCAGAGAATGATGATTCAGCAGAGGTGGCTGATGCGGCAGCAGGGGCGGCTGCGACGGCTTGTTCTTTTTGAGTCTTGTATTTGATGAAGTAAACCTAGTAAAAAGTAAACAAAAAGTAAGTAAAGGGCTCATATGAATTAGAACAGCTGAGTTTGGTTTACCTCTGGTTTGCTTGGGGTTGTTGGAGCTGGTTGAATGTTTTGTGCAACTTCAGAAAGCGATTGTTGTTTCTTTGAGAGAACATATACGATAGTCTGAAAGGTGAAAAAAGAATAACGGAATGAAATCAATTGAAATCGAATCTTCATTGATCGTCATTTTTAAAATTACCTTTTCTTCGGTTTTTGGTTGAGTCAATTGTTGAAGTTGTGCTACGTTGACTGATGGTGCTGATGGAGCCTTAATGAAGATAATTTTGTAGTGTTTTTGGGCTTGAACAGGGGCGACGGAACGTGGTTCGGCGGCAAAGTCTTCTTCTTGTGGTGGTGGAACATGAACTAAACAACGAGAAGACAATTTAAAAATAATTTTGAAATAATTGCACTAAACATATCAAACATCATATTTGTTCGGACCATATTCAGTTGATTTTCCGTTATTAAATGTAATGCTATCAATTTTTTAAAAACAATATTTAAACTTTAAAAACAAAAAAAAATGTTTTTCATACATACCATAGATGTGTTTGTGGACAGCAATTGTTTCTGCTTGTGGGGCAGCTGGGGCAGCAGATGCACCGAATGTTGAGCTTGACAATCCAGAAAGTCCGCTTGACAAACCAGAGAATGATGAGCTACCGCTTGACAAACCAGAGAATGATGAGCTACCGCTCGATAATTCTGAACCGAATGTGGCTTGTGAGGCAGCTGGTGCAGCAGAGAATGTGGCTTGTTGAGCTGGTGCAGAGTATGTGGCTTGTTGAGCTGGTGCAGAGTATGTGGCTTGTTGAGCTGGTGCAGAGTATGTGGCTTGTTGAGCTGGTGCAGAGTATGTGGCTTGTGGAGCTGGTGCAGAGTATGTGGCTTGTTGAGCTGGTGCAGCAGAGAATGTAGCTTGTTGAGCTGGTGCAGAGTATTGTGGAGCTGGTGCAGAGTATGTGGCGCTTGATAATCCGCTTAAGCCAGAGAATGAGCCAGACGATCCGGCGGTCGAGTACGAAGGAGCAGAACCTAATAAAAACCAAACAAGAAATAATTAATAATAAATAAAATAAAAGTAAATCAGATGATTTTCTGCTGGAGATAATCGACTAGATAATATTGTTAAAGTAATAATTGTTGAATAATACGAGAGATAGTTTACCAGAGCTCACGGAGATTCCACTTGATGGTTGGTTGTATGAGTATCCTTGTGGTTTGGCTACAGCCAAAGCAATGCACGATAAAACAACAAACAACTTCATTTTAATGGTTATTAATAATTTGAATTCAAACACACAACTCCTTCGAATGATCGATATGGATGCAAGTGATGATCTGATAATTTGTTCGTAGCTACGGAGTCTTTTATACGATACAAACTTCCCTCACCTTACCACCTGTGTGTTATCAATTCATTGACACTGTTGCCGTTGACATATAACCCAATCTAATTCATATGCAGCGATTCAAAAAAAAAGTGTGGGATGGTCATTCGTCGTTATGTCTTTTCATATTTTCTGCATTGCAAATTCAATGGTTCTAATGATACATATGAGATGCAAAAAAGAGAGCAGCAAAAAAGGAAATGTATTCGGCAATCAAATATCATATCATGACCGAATTTAAATACAAAGATGGGAAAATTATGTATCAATGTAAATGTATTTCATTCGTCTTGAACTATTCACCATTTCATTCGAAGGCATCATACACATGGGTTTCAACCTATTATAGTAAATGGTTCCAGTACAATCATCTTTTTTTCTTTAAAATTCACAAACGTTTGTATTGTTACTTAACCATCGCAATATGATATGGTTTTTTTTTTTCATCTTTTTCGATAGATGCGAATTCGGTCAAAATGAAAAAAAAATTATGCATATGCAATATGGACAAAACTGTATACAAATTGGCTGATTGATATCGCTTTCCTCGCCGCTTACCGGTTGAATATCACCAACTTTTCGCTAGCATGCTGCGTAAATTAAATACATCATATGACGATGAATTTGATTGATTGTGATTTTTAATTATCATTTTTTTGTAGATCTCGCCTGAAGCTCTAGTATCAGACATTCATTTCATTACCAATTATGAATGGGGAATGGTTTTTTCGATTCATATTTGTGCAATCGCTGATATGCATCAATAAAAGTGACAGATTTTATCATAATGACGAAGTTCTTGCAAATTTAAAACATTTCACTTTCACTCACCATCTTTGGCGCCTTAAATTATTTCTATGATAAAAGTTGCAAAACACATTTTTATTGCATTTTTTGCATCATCAAATACGAGGGTTGCTCCATAATTTTTTTTAAAAACATATATAACACAGTTGTTTTTTGTCGAAAATGGTTTTATTGTTTTTCAAATTATTCCCCGAGATGATCGATACACTTTTGCATTCGATGAAACCATTTGTCATAGCATTCGTGCCACTCCGAAACTGATATCTCCAAAACGTGTGTTTTGAACGCTTCAACTGCTTCTTCTGGTGTCGAAAATCGTTGACCACGTAGTTTTTTCTTCACGCTTGGGAACAAAAAAAAGTCATTGGGTGCCAGGTCAGGACTGTACGGTGGATGACCCATCAGTTCGATGTTTTGACCGGTCAAAAATCGAGTAGTTTGAAAAGATGTGTGAGAGCTCGCATTATCGTGATGAAGAATTATTTTGCGACGGTGGTTGTTTTTTCTTATTTCACCAAACACTTCGGGCAAACAAATGGTGGTATACCAATCAGAATTGACGGTCTTACGATCCTCTAGTGGAACGGTTGCCACATGACCACTTCTCCCGAAAAAACAGGCGACCATTCGCTTCGAAGTGCTTCTTGCTCGAACAACTTTCGTTGGGTTATCTTCATTTTGGAAGACCCATACAGTCGACTGCTGTTTCGTTTCGGGCTCATAGGCATATATCCACGATTCGTCACCAGTGACGATTTTATTAACGTCTTTTGAAGCACCACGATTGAATTTCTTGAGCATTTCTTTACACCAACTCACACGAGCCATTTTTTGTTCATCGGTCAATTTATGTGGGATCCAACGAGAGCAAATCTTTTTTACGGCTAAATGTTCATGCAAAATTGTATGTATGCTGTGGGATGAAATGCCCAAAGATGCCTCAATCTCACGGTAGGTCACATGACGATCTTCCATAATCAGTTTTCTGACAGCATCGATGTTTTGTGGCACAACAGCCGATTTTGGACGACCTGTATGAAACTCGTCTTTGAGCGAACTACGACCGCAACGGAATTCTCGGTACCAGTTATAAATTGTCTGAAGGGTTGGTGCTTCATTGCCAAAGGCCAAATGAAGTCGATCGAAACACTGTTGTTGAGATAATTTACTTCGAAAATCGTAGTAAATCATTTTACGAAAATCTTCACGTGTAAAATTCATTTTTTTGTTGAGTCGCAGTTTACCAGTCACTGTAAACAATACAAATAGCGTTCGTACGACAAAAGGTTCAGGGCACGAATACATACCAAAACATCAAACTTTACGAATATGACAATGGTTTACATCGGGCAACACTATAAGTACCATTTTAAAAAAAATTATGGAGCAACCTACGTAATAGCTCATTCAAAAATCATCTGGAGAAACTTAAAAATCATAGTTCATAAAAATGAAAAAAGCATGTGAAAAATCATCTCAAACATCATAAAATCAAAGCAAAACTAAAATAAATGCATTGCAATGAAGAAAAATAAACTACAACTCTTATTTGTGTAATTTTCAAATTGACGTTAATCGTTGAGTTAATTTTAATTTTGGGCAATTTTAGATATCTTTTATGAAAGAAAAAGTTGGTTGATAACACCTTGCTCGTTAGACGAAACCGTTTTTTTTTTTAATTTCAATTTGCATTTTTATTAAACGGACAACATTTTAACCAATGCAAAATGACCTGGAAATAACAAAAAAAATGTTATGCAAAATAAAAAAAGCATAAAAACATGCATTCAGATTTGGTGATATGATTTTTTTTGGATGCAAGTTACCCAAAAAGACTTACCACAATGGTTTCAACATATTCAAATCTTTTTTTTGCTTTATAAATTTAGAGTGTAACTTTTTTTTTTCGTTGAATATAAATTACCATTCTTCTTAGCAAATTTCATTGATGTGATTAGCAAATAAGAAATTGCATATACGCAATCAATGTCTTTAACATTACATCCAATTACATTATGTACATATGATCATTTGAAATTTGACATGTACAGTGCAGTTCAAAAGTTTAAACACAGCCATGCACTAATGACATTTTTTCGTCATAGAAAATTTTCTGCTTTCAACACATACATTTCATCTACATCGTTAGATAGACAAAAATGTCAAAGACATAAGATAGTAGAACAAGTAGTTTGAAAATCATGATTATTCCAAAATATCATTTTGGCAATGGTGTATTCAAACTTTTGGACTGTAGTGTGTATATTGCCATGAACTAAATATAAATACGGTCGTAAATGTTATAAGTTTCGATTGTTTTTTGTATTGTTAAACAAAATATAAAGTGCAAGGTTGTATTTCTTTTTTTATAATATATTTTATTCTCTCTTTAATTTTTTTTGTATAGAAAAAATTCACATATTTCGATTATATTTGCAATAAATAAGACTTGATGTTTGAGTGACAGTGATTTAAATGTGGATTATCGTTTTGATGTTTATTGTTTTGGTGGACCATATTCAGGTGCTGGTGTACGTGGTTGAATAACAGCAGCAATGTTTGCAGCATCTGAACCAGTCAAAACACTGAAAATAGAAGGGTTTTTTGTTAGAATAGAACTTTTTTCGATGACATGAAAAAGGATTAGATAAAATAGTACTTTGAAGAGGAGTCATCGACTGATGATGATGACGCGAAGGTGGAAGCGGTTGAATCAACAGCACTGCTTGCAAACTCCGACGAAGTTGAACTAAAACTGCTCGATTGAGGTAGTTCCAAGGTTTGTGCGGTTGCTGATGGTGCTAATGGGACGAATGATGGAGCTGAATAAGCTGGTGAAATTGGCAGTGATGCTTCTGCTGAACCAGACTGAACTGGAAGAGAAGATTGCTCTTGTTGGGCCTTGTATTTGATAAAGTAAACCTAAAATAATAAAAATAAAATAATAAATTAATAAGAAAAATTATATGAATTAGAGCAGGTGAGTTTGGTTTACCTCTGGTTTGCTTGGTTGTTGAACTGGAGTTCTTGCGATGGTATTTTGTAATTCTTCAAGTGATTCTGGTTTCTTAACGAGCACATAAACCTTTTGGAGAAAAATAAAATACATTGTTCAAAGTAAATTCAATTATACAACTATATGAGTGTGGTTAATTGGTGCATACCAAAGTTTTTTCTTCCGATTGTTGTTGGGCGAGTTGTGCTTGAGCCAATTGTTGTGCAACCGATGGGCCTGATGGTGCTTTGATGAAGATAATTTTGTAGTGCTTTTGTGCTTGAACTGGAGCGACTGCATTGTTTTTGGCATTCAATTCTTCGTCTAAACGAATATAAATGGCATTGATATTGAAACTAAATAAAACACAATAATAATAGTAAATTTACCATCTGGTGGTGGTACATGTACATAAATGTGCTTTTGAACTAATGTGTTTGCGACAGGAGCGAATGAAGCGACTGGAGCTACTTGAGCGACTGGAGCAACCGGTGATGGTACGAAACTTGGAGCAGGTGCTATAAATATTCACACCAATTTTAGGATATGATTTATGTGCGGTGAATTTATTTCTCTTTTTTTTGCTAATTGCTCGATTCTTCTTGATTCTATCAATGAAATTCCGTACATTTCGTATACTCATTCAAAATAATATATTTGAATAGGAATCAAGTCTCAAATATAAGAAAAATGTAAAAAGAAAATATTGTCTTTTATACCTGCTAATACTCCGGAGAAACTGCTGCCACTACCGTGTGATACTCCTGATCCAAAAGAATTTCCACTCGATGAACCGGAACCAAATGAGCTCGACACACCTGAGCCAAATGAATTGCTGCTTTGCACACCTGAGCTGTATGAGCTCGACACCCCTGAACCAAATGAATTGCTGCTTTGCACGCTTGGACTGTATGAGCCGCCGCCAAATGAAAGTGGGCTAAATGTATTTACTGTTGGGCTGACAGAGTAGGATGAACCCAACGACAATGAACCCCCAGCACTGTGTGAATTTACACCCAACGACTGATGTGAAGCGACTGGTGCATATCCTTGAGATACCGAGTGGCCGCTACTATATTGTGTGGTAGATAATGCCTGTAATCAGAATGAAAACGTATTTGTAAGTCAATTCAAATGATAAGCCATTGATGAAAAATTGTTCCAAATAATGTGATCACAATTAGCTTTTATCCCATTGAACTGTATTTAAACGTACAGGAAATGATGATGGAACATGTTGATTTTGTGATTGTGGCAATAAAAGAGTAACACTTAATCCATCATGATTTGGTTTTTCATAGGTATATCCTTGAGGTTTGGCTGTCACAGCCAAAATCAAACACGATACCACAATAAATGCTTTCATTTTGAACGATTCACTTGTATCAAATTTCGATCGACGGTACTTTCTTTCACGTTATTTCAACACAGACTGATGCCAAGCGAAAGTGATTGTCTGGCTTTTATTGAAACTTCCTTATCCCCATCACTGTTAAATCCATCGAAATTCGGCTTCGATACAATTTCAATATCCGAACATAAAAGAAATGAGACAGAGAAAAAGTAAGAGAAATGCTAATGTTTCTCGTGAAAAAAAAACAACAACAACCGACACCAAAACTGAAATATTTCTAATCACCATAAATTTCTCCGAAAGTTTGACTCATAAATGTACGCACGTGGAAGCATTGGCAAAACACATCGCAGAGAAGAGACTGGAGAATAAAACGTTAATTATACATATCATCCGTAAATAGTATATCAAATTCTTTATCAATATACACAAGAGCCTACGTATGTAAAAACAAATCGAACATATTTATGATGAAATACAAAATTGAATTATATACGGACAATGAGATCAATACGGTTTGCTGGTCAGATCCGATTCACATGCAAATGAATTTAATGACTTCAAGATGATGTCATAATTAGAAATTGACTACGTACTATGCCATTTTATTTGCACAAGACTCGAAACGATTTAAATCTTAAAGAGAAAACACAATTTCCAACAATCTTAAAATTTGTTTATTTATTTATTTATAGCGGACACATTAGTTTCTATCAGTTTCTGTTTCTTTTCTCTCTTTTCGTGTCTCTCTCCCACTCTTTCTTCATCGTCTTATTTTTTTGCTTTCGCATTTATGCTTCTTTTCATTTTCAATCTATTCACTTTCAATATTTCAATCATATTCAAATTCAAATTTGTTTAACAATCTTGAAAAAGAATGGCCCATGGACCAATATATCGAATAAAGATGAACCATTTTTTAGCTAAATTTTGTGTAAATTATCGAAATGAAAACAAACTACATAAAATTCATTTCATTTTTTTTCAACATTTTTTTTTTTAATAATTGGTTATCTTACAAAATATTAACTACTATTTTAACTATGCATTGGTTTCTTCCTATCTTTACTTATTTCTTTGTTTCTTTTTTCATCTTATTCAACAATAAATATATCAAACAATTATTTCAAATGTATTTAGTTAGGAGGAAGGTATTGATTTTCAGTCTCTTGAGATCCATGCGATGCAACACCATTTGATGAAGACGAATAATGTTCGTTTGATTGTGTTTCCGGCAAGATATCATGGCCTTGCAAGGCCGTGAATCGAGCTGTTTGTGATGGTTGTTTCGATCGTGCATAAATTGGTTCGTTGTGTTCGTGTGTTTGTTGTATAATCTGTGCAGCTGTGTTGCTTATTTCTTTTTGTGCTTTGTACTTGATGAAATAGACTTGTGGATTATTCGACTCATTATTTTTCAATGGTTGAATATTTTGTATTGCTTCTGTTTCTGGTTTTTTGACCAAAACATATATAATTGTTTTTTCGTCGCTTTGAGGTTGATACTGATGTTGACTGATTGCTGACTGTGAAATTGTTGGTGTTTTAACGAAGATAATGTTGAAATGCTTATTTTTATTTACAATAGTTGGAATTGGCAAAGATTGTTCTGATTCTTCAAAATCTTTTGGTGGCGCGTGAATGTAAATGTGTTTGTGAACTGTTACGGTTGAAGTTGCCGAATGTTGTTCTAATTGTTGTTGCTGCTGTGGTTGTTGGGCTATGGCCGGTTGAATATACGGCGGTTCAAGTGAAATTGAATCATTGCTATCATACGTAGATTGTAATGACGGAGCTATATCGGCTGGATTTGGTACAATTGTCGAATAAATTTTGAATGAGTCCAATGTTCCATCAGTGTCTTCGCTTGTGTTTTGCAATTGTGTATTGGACGTTGTGGCAACGGGGTTAGTAATAAAAGTTTGGTCAACATTGTTGGATTGAATTGAGTAACCAATTCGTAATGGTTTCGCCGAAAATTCGGCTAAAGTATTGAAAAATGTTAAATTGTATAGTTGCTGTTGTTGAAGTAAAAAGCTGTGATCACTTTGTAATGATCCTTGTGTTTGGTACGAAGATGAATAGGGAGCAATGGTGGTTTGTTCTGATTGGTATATCCGTTGTTGTTGTTGTTGAAAATATTGCGAAGCATCAAATGATTGAGTTTGCTGAAATGATTGTTCTTGTTGCACAAATCCATTTTGTTGATTATTTGGCGATTCATAGCTATACGGTTGATTGTATTGTGGCTTTGCCACAACTAAACACACTGTAAATGTCACCACAAATAATTCACGCATTGTTTTCGCCGTTCACAAACACAATCCAAAAATCACTTGTACTTCCAATTGAATGGAAGTCTTGAATTGCTAGCTTGCTGACAGTTATTTCATTCGATCGAAGTTAATGATAGATACTGACGACATTTTCAAAAAACATCATGAATTTATATCAATTTGTTCAGGTCCCACACCAGATAAATTATAAAATACCAAATATCGATTGAAATCCATCAATCATTTATTTTTTTATGTAATTATTAGCCCGGAATTTTCAATGTTTTAAAACATTTTGTGACTAAAAGTCAATTTTTTTGATCGACTTTTGCTAATGTTACGTGAAATATAAGCGATTTGATCAGTTTATCAGTTTGTAGTTATTTAATAAAAATCAATTCCGGCAAAAATCATCACAAAACGCTTTAATCGAGTTAATTTTAACCCTTTGCTGCGACAGTTTTTTCAATCTTAACCAGAGAGTAGACGACGCTACCGGTGTAGCAATTCTGACAATTATACGTACACATACAATTGGGATTATTTTGAATGAACCTCTTTTAACTATAGTAAATTGTATCGCAAATAACCTTTCCTAATTAGGAACTTGCATAAGATAAAGGGTTAAGCAAAAAAAAAAACCAACAATACTGATTGGAGTGGTTAACCAATAAATGTTTAAAAAAAACTATAAATATACGTAATATGTATTTGATTTTGACAAAAAAAAACCAATGCACCCCGTTCCAGTGATTGACCAACAACAAAAGACCATCACGCTGACATTTACCACATTAAAAAAAAAGTGAAATGTTGTTCACGCATAATCAGATTGCTGAATCTATCAATTAATAAAACTGTATCGCGATAATGAATCATTAAAGAGTACGATATGGATATATACGATCACAATACCTATGTTTTGTTTCATCCATTCACTGTGTATGTGAAATGTATCTGTGAAGCACATTACAGTATGTTATTAAGCACAAACTTCAATACTGTATCATATTATTCCAATTCTATGAAATGTGCGTGCAATAATCTTTGATGGTTGGAAACAAAACAAAAGTAACGGCTTCCATTTGGTCGCAATAGAACTTTCAATTTTGTTGTTTACGCGCATTTGAATCACAATGATGGCATTTAAATAAGCGAATGGCATGGTATCTATCTATTAAGCGCTATTTTCCACTGTCATCATCATCACCATGTTTGTTGATCTCAAAAGTAGTTTTGTTGACTTTAAATGTCTGATTATACGCGTATGGCGAGAGAAATTCCAATTAATTGTATGTTAAAATTAGATTTGAACGACGATATGTTTTGGTTTTTGAAGATTCGCGTATGGTAAGATTGTTTTTTTTTTTTCACATTCAAATTAATTCAAACGCTTTCTCCAAAAACGGATTTTTTTCTCTCACATTTTGTTCAAATTGAAACGGTTTTTTGTTGATTTTAAGTTCAATATGAATCTTAAAATGCAAAGCCAGGGAAGGCTTTTTTCAAGTGAAAAAATAAATCGATTGGGCATTTTAACGATTGTTTCGAACGGTTTTCGATGCTTTTTTTACTCAATTTTATTTTGTACGTTCATTCGATAGGTTGATGAATCAATCAATAAATTAAAACTAACTGAAAAAGAAATACAAGTGTGTCTTAAACCAAACTTTAATCATTTATTTTTGTGAACTGTGATAAGTGAATTGTCGATTAGAAAAGAAAGAATTGTCAAGCTGTGTGAGTGTCTTTGATTTATTGCCAAAGAAAAAAAAAGACATGAACCGAATAATGCAAAAAATAAAATGCGCAAGCAGGTCGGGTTGCTCGAAGTTGCTGCTTTATTTTCTCATTATTGTAATTCCTGTAAGGCAATTAAGTGTTGAGAAGAAAAAAAAATAGATCGGAACACTGAATATAACTTTATTTACACTAGATATAACAATTAACAATCATAACAATGATTTATTAGCTATTGTTTGTTGCAACAAACAAAAAAACAGTGGCCCACATAGTAATTCGCACAGAAGGTGAAATTAACATTCGGCATTGGGCGACCGTCACATTTTGAACCGCACATTTTATGGCAGCGATTACCATCAACAAACCATATTGGCCGACCAAAAGTGAGTGTGTGTGTGATTAAATGAGAGTAAAAGAGTAACGAATTTCGATAGCTCGAAATTACACATTTAGAAAGTAACCGAATCGATTGACATTTAATGCAACAATTGTTGTTTTTCATCATCTTCTTCCAATCAAGTATCTGATGCGTAAATAAATTGGTGTATGTCGAAAACTAACAAAAATTACCATAAAATTAATTGAAATGAAAGAAATACAATCTTAAACAAAAAAGTAAATATCCGATGTAACTTTTCCGGTAGATTTAAGTTTAAACTTAATTATCTCTGCAAAAAGTAATAGCCAATGTTTAGCGTTTTGAAATTGCTTTGTACGGTGGCATCTGTGTGGCTTCGACACCATTTGAAAATAAATAAATACATACACACAGCAACACACGCGCAACAAATAGGCTGCGTAAATATAATTACATAACTATCGCTTATGATCGGTTTACTATGTAGATTGTAGGCGCTAAAATAACATGAATACATCGAATTTCAAAGAATATGTGTAATTTCAATAAAAGAAACATTTTACTGCAATGAGAAATTCTTGTACCGGATTGATTTAGACATAATGCACAGTCTGATAGCAATTTACCACCAACGGTTTTATAATAAAACGACACGCATTCCGATTTTTCTATTTAAATTGAATAAATGATGAGCAAAAACGTAAAGGCTAAGGGA